GACTGTTTGAGGTTGTGGACAGGTGTCTTTTATACTGATAACAAGTTCAAACAGGTGCCATTAATACAGGTAACGAGTGGAGGACATAGGAGCCTCTTAAAGAAGAAGTTACAGGTCTGTGAGAGCCAGAAATCTTGCTTGTTTCTAGGTGACCAAATACTTATATTCCACCATAATTTGCAAATAAATTCATAAAAAATCCTACAATGTGATTTTTGGATTTTTTTTCCCTCAATTTGTCTGTCATAGTTGACTTGTACCTATGATGAAAATTACAGGCCTCTCATCTTTTTAAGTGGGAGAACTTGCACAATTGGTGGCTGACTAAATACTTTTTTTCCCCACTGTATAATTTTATCTATTATTATTATTATTATTATTATTATTATTATTATTATTATTATCTATTAACTATCACAGAACATCATCCTGTAACTATTGAAAATGAGTGACTTCATGCTGAATACATTTAAAAGGATAGTCCACTCATGATTCAAGTTTTTTGATTTTTCAGAGCACAAAAGCAGTCTACAATCAAGATGGGATAAAATAATGTACTTATCCATTAGTATCCTCTTCAGATCATCTCTGAACTACTTCTGCGACATTCCATTCCCATTGTTGGTAACATCTAGATCAACCCAGCTGAGGCCAAACTGTGGATCCAGCATGGCGGCAAGGAAGTACACGTCATGGCCAAAGGGTTGCTCTCCCTCACTCTCCTTGGCCATTTTCGTTCTCACAAAGTTTCCTGAGAATCTTTTTAGTAGAGACTGTCGAAGGGCCATGCACTGCTAATGGCCGGCACTGACTTCTTGACTCCTTCATCTGGAGCAGGTGAGTGTTCATATCCAAGACAGTTGGAAGCACCATACTGATTGATGGTGACAGACTTCTCTCCGTTGCCTTGGAGAACGGTGCAAGGACTGCACTCAACTCTTTCAGTTGGTTCCATTCATGAGTGGTAAAAACTACATTCTCGAAGTCCATGCTGCACATTTCTGTGAGGGCCTTGTGGTCAAGAGCTGTGAGGGCCTGCAGTTGTTTGAACGTGCTATTCCAGCGAGTAGTATTTGCTGCCGGAACAGACTTTCCCATGCCAAACACAGCCTCTAACCTGTCTTTAAATGGAGTGCTACTATGTAGCAGTTTACTGAATGAACCTTGATGTCTTGGCAATGGCTAATGGAATCCCATCATGTATCATTAGCTGTAGGGAGTGAGCAAAATGGGAGAGTCGCTGTCTGGATCTCAGGAGGTCGATGTTCTCCTCCTCATCCCATGATACATCCTCCCCCATCCTCCAGTTTCCCCATCTTCACTGTCATCACTGACTTTACTGTGCTCCTCCTGCTGTGGCAGCTTTACTTTGAATGCACATTTTCATATTTGATGCATTATCTGTGATAACGTGGGCTACTTTGTTTGTGATGCGATATTAATGAACTTCTAACTTACACATCTGTCTTCTCTTCTGGCAACTGCACTGGCCTATCTCTTTCCCCTCTCTCTAGCTCTTTAACGAGTAACCTATACAGTGCCTTCAGAAAGTATTCATACCCCTTGACTTATTGCACATTTTGTTGTTACAGCCTGAATTCAAAATCGATTAAATGTGTTTTTCTCACCATTCTACACACAATACCACATAATGACAAAGTGAAAACGTTTTTTAGAAATGTTTGCAAATGTGTTAAATGAAATACAGAAATAATGAATTTACATAAGGTTTCACACCCCTGCCTGTGCTTATAGCTGTATTCTGTTTATTTTTATCCTAAAAAACGACCTAGTCCTTGCCGATGACCAGCATACCCATAACATGATGCAGCCACCACCATGCTTGAAAATATGAAGAGTGGTACCCCAAACGTAACGCTTTTGTATTCAGTATTACTTAAGTGCCTTGTTGCAAACAGGCTTCCTTCTTTTCACTCTGTCATTTAGGTTAGTATTGTTGAGTAACTACAATGTTGTTTATCCATCCTCAGTTTTCTCATATCAGAACCATTAACCTCTAACTGTTTTAAAATCACCATTGGCTTAATGGTGAATTCCCTAAGCGGTTTCCTTCCTCCGGCAACTGAGTTAGGAAGGACGCCTTTATCATTGTAGTGACTGGGTGTATTGATACACTATCCAAAGCCTAATTAATAACTTAACCATGCTCAAAGGGATATCAGCATGTGCAATTATTTTATTTTTTTACACATCTACCAATCGGTGCCCTTCTTTGCGAGTAATTGAAAAATCTCCCTGGTCTTTGTGGTTGAATCTGTGCTTGTAATTCACTACTCGATTGAGGGACCTTACAATTATCTGTATGTGTTGGGTACATAGATGGGGTAGTCATTAAAAATAATTTTTACCACTATTATTATTATTGAACACTGAATGAGTCCATGCAACTTATAATGCCGTTTGTTAAGCACGTTTTTACTCCTGATCGTTATTTAGACTAGCCATAACAAAGGGGTTGAATACTTATTATTTGGTGTTGGTCAAAAGGCATGTGGGAGACTCCCCAAACATATGGAAGAAGGTACTCTGGTCAGATGATACTAATATTGAGCTTTTTGGCCATCAAGGAAAACGCTATGTCTGGCGCAAACCCAACACCTCTCATCACCCCGAGAACACCATCCCCACAGTGAAGCATGGTGGTGGCAGCATCACGCTGTGGGGATGTTTTTCAACGGCAGGGACTGGGAAACTGGTCAGAATTAAAGGAATGATGGATGGCGCTAAATACAGGGAAATTCTTGAGTGAAACCTGTTTCAGTCTTCCAGAGATTTGAGACTGGGACGGAGGTTCACCTTTCAGCAGGACAATGACCCTAAGCATACTGCTAAAGCAACACTCTAGTGGTTTAATGGGAAACATTTAAATGTCTTGGAATGGGCTAGTCAAAGCCCAGACCTCAATCCAATTAAGAATCTGTGGTATGACTTAAAGATTGCTGTACACCAGCGGAACCCATCCAACTTGAAGGAGCTGGAGCAGTTTTGCCTTCCCAGTGGCAAAAATCCCAGTGGCTAGATGTGCCAAGCTTATAGAGACATACCCCCAAGAGACTTGCAGCTGTAATTGCTGCAAAAGGTGGCTACAAAGTATTGACTTTGGGGGGGGGTGAATAGTTATGCACGCTCAAGTTTTCTGTTTCTTTGTCTTATTTCTTGTTCGTTTCACAATAAAACATATTTTGCATCTTCAAAGTGGTAGGCATGTTGTGTAAATCAAATGATACAAACCCCCCAAAAAATCCATTTTAATTCCAGGTTGTAAGGCAACAAAATAGGAAAAATGCCAAGGGGGGTGAATACTTGCGCAAGCCACTGTAGCTATGCAGGCTAGCTACTTCTCATTTGCTAGCTAACCAACTATGCACACAATGCACAATCACATCAAGCAACTGAAATGACAGCAAACTATGTGCACTTTTGTTTGTTTTACCTTTGTTTCTATTGACATTTATTTGGATATATCCATTATAATGATCCTGAGAAATGAATTCACCTGGCTCAGAGAAGCTGTCAATCTTGTCACATTTATATGCATGGCACAGTGTAAATCGCAAAAAACTGCAAAATTGTTCCACAGGTCGGAGAGGCAGATGGCAAGGTTTAGACAAACCCCAAGTGTTGCAAACCAAACATTTTATAAAAGTGCAGACTTCAAAATGGTATTTCATAAACTGCTGTTGGGTGAAACATGGGAAAGTTATGCTTCTTTGAAATTTGATAAACTTGTTAACCCACTAGAGACAAGTAGGAGAAAAAGAATAGATCCTGAATCTGGTCACAAATGCTAGCCTAGTGTCATCTAATAGACTATCTAATGGAACTGTTAACAGGCATTACCTGGAGAATGAGTGATTGTGGTGCTATAACTCCCTGCTATCAACCAATCAGAATCCTGGATCCAAACAACCTGTTTTATGATAATGGTTTTACAGGCTGCGGAGATGCATAACGCTGCTGTAAAATCGACCTCTCAGCTGTTCAAGGTATTGGAAAATGTATTGAACAGTCACATCTGAGACTAGACTACGCTACACATACAGTAAACACAAATGTGGGTCATGGAGACATGGCCACGCGTAAATGGGCACACAGACTACCCTCTCAGGGGGTAGAAATACCTTAAAGGAATGTATTTTAAAATGTGACTTCATATTCATCATCTACATCACTACCCCAACATCAATGTATGTGAAAATTGAGCATTTCTATTTCTTTTTGTAGTCAAAAAGATAGAGGAAAATCACATAATACTTTACTAACCTTTGCCGACTCATAGTTGGTTAAAATCACCCCAGATGATGTAAAAGTGATGTCAAAACTATTTCCGGTAAGCTTAAATGATGACATACAGAAACGTTATTTTTATCTGGTGTTAATCTTTTTGACTATAAAACAGAACTCCGCCGTTTTCAGATGCTGGAGATTATGAATATGAAGTTGACCAATTTTGAAATGTCAGAAGACCATTATTATTTAGTGTTAACAACAAACTCAAATCAAACAAAGTGAGATAAATGTAAATGGAGTAAATAGAAACCCCGTTATCAAAATCATGTAGGCATTTACAGGAAACCCAACTGCCTTCAACTTGGTTCATTGGCTATTCATAAGAGGACATCTCTTGTAACTCAGCAAGTAGCACTAAATAGCAGTAAATGTTTTGAGGGTGCAGTAAAAAAGAATCCTACACAAGCACAATGGAGTGAATCATTAGCAATGCATCATCAGCAATTTTTCACTAATGAGATTTGGCACGCACACACATTTTTCTTTTCGCTTGACCAGCAGGCTTGATGAGGCCTTTTTGTTCTCTGACGGTTTGTTCCATCTGCCTTGCACATTAAACAAATAGAATACAGAGATGCATGTAAGTGTTTCATCATGTGAAAGTTGTGGGGGGGAAAAAAATACTATTTACTGTTTAATAATTATAGAACATTCCCACACCTCTCTATATTGTCCCTCTCCTTGTAGTTTTTCCGAACTTGGTGGACGTCATCCCAGCTAGTCTTCACGTCACTGTGATCTTCTTCTGCGGCGTGATCATCCTCTTCTCCTCTGTGGCCACAGGCTTCTTTATGTACAATGCCTTTGGTAGTCCCTATGAGACTCTGCACGGACCTCTGGGACTCTACCTCTGGAACTTCGTCTGCTGTAAGCACATAAAAGTAATAGTGTCATAAAAAAACAACATCTTAACCTTTTCTTTCTAGAGTGCTGTCCTATCCTTCATGTGGTAGCCGAATCCCCTTCTAAGCTGTGAACCAGCAGCCTACCATATGAACATTGGCTAAGCACAAGGCCCCATACTCTGCAACATAAGCACAAAATCTAACATACCGCTCACATCACAGGTAGATGTAGGCAAACAGCTCTCTCTTACACACATGCATTCCATCTTCAGATATAAATATGATAATGGAGCCACGTTTATTGGTTCTAACATGCATCCTTTGTCCGGATCTTGTCCACATTCTGATTGTGCCCACATTTTCTGAAAGGTGTAGACGATTAAAAGATGCATTGTGATCTGATTGTGATCAGATTTTCCTGACCACCTCTGGATGTAGTCAGGCACGCATATGTGTCTGGATATCTTACAAGTGTAGACGGATCTGGACAGTGAAATAATTTAAATAATCATTATCCCACCCTCAAATCATTGACAGGTGGCACCATTGTGTCTTAAAATAAATACATATTATTTTCAAAGAAAAGCTGTCAAATAATTTGCATACAGGAAGGGACCAGGAATTCTGGTCACAGTGTGTAGACTAATTTCTGAAAATGTGGGCCCAATCAAAATGTGGACAAGATCAGGACGCATGTTAGCCCCAGGTATTAATGGGGCAATAGAGAAGGTCAGGACGCATGTTAGCCCCAGGTATTAATGGGGCAATAGAGCAGTGGTTCTCAACCAGGGGTATTAGTACATTTTACATTTACATTTTAGTCATTTAGCAGACGCTCTTATCCAGAGTGACTTACAGTAGTGAGTGCATACATTTTCATACTGGGCCCCCGTGGGAATCAAACTCACAACCCTGGCGTTGCAAGCGCCATGTTCTACCAACTGAGCTACACGGGACAGCCGTACCGCTTGGGGGTACTTGGCCTATCCACAGGGGGTACTTGAGAAGACTCATGAGACCATATGCTTACTGGTAAAATGCACATGAAAGGGGTACTTCAGGGGTACTCTGGACAGACCAAAATGTACTTTGTGGTACTGTAACCAAAAAAGGTTGAGAACCACTGCTGTAGAGAACATTGGGGTCCAACAAAGTTGTCCTTCAACACTTCAACATTAGTTATAAATGCATATCAGAGACGTTCAAACACAACAGTCAAGCCATGAGTGGTCGGCTGTACATCATTGAGAAAATTATCCACTTTCCTATTGCCTTTTTCAGCTTTAAAACCAGTATCCGGTTACCCACTATTTAATCAGGACAGTGGGCTACTTGACCTCCCATCCAAATAAGAAACAGCACCAGAGTTAAAGGAGTTATTTCTCAGTTATCTGTAACTGAGGCCCTACCTTTAGCGGGCCTATTAAATCAAAACCGCTTACCAGGTTTCAGGGGCAAAACAAAACAGTTATTACACTAGAATGCAAGATTGGATTCATCTGATCAGTGAACCTATATTTACAATGATGTAAAACATGTCACCATGATAATTAAAATCTCACGTAGCAGTAAATGGCCTACGCTTAATTGTTTTGGTAACCTGTTTGTGATTGCAACTACTGTAGCGTTCACATATTTCCTTTTAATGTGGCGTGGGCGGGAAGTGATGTCAACTGTAATAATGTAATAATGTTGTGTGTGTGTCGTGTCTGTCTCTGTCTGTCTGTCTGTCTGTCTGTGTCTGCCATTCTGTCTGTCTGAATAGGCTTCTGCAGCTGCCTGGTGATGATTCTGTTTGCCTCCGAGGTGAAGCTCCACCGGCTGTCCGACCACATCGCCAACTTCAACGAGGGCACGTTTGTGTACAAGACGCACACAGAGCAATTTGATCACTCCTTCTGGCTCATCTTCCTCACCTTCCTCGTCCATGGCCTTAACATCCTGCTGATCCGTGTGGCCGGCATCCAGTTCCCCTTCCAGGAGGCCAAAGAGTCGGACTTGAACACCGGGGCATCAGATCTCATGTACTGACCAGGGCTTTTGTTTGTTTGTGTGGCCGCTGGCCGGGCCCCCCCACTATAGTGACACTGAGCCTCGGCTATTAGCGTGTCTCAATGGGAGACTTGGGGCCATAGCTCCTATGTGCCCATGTGCTGTTGAAAGGTCCAAGCAAATGTGACCCTCCTAAGCCGCTTCTTTCCCCTTCCAGTGACAAGCTGTCAGTCCTTCAGATGACAACCGGAGACGTGTCCCTGGCCATCTCTGTTAGGGAAACTGTTTTGAAACTTGGAGTGGGTCGGGTCTTGTTTTTCTTTCCGTTATTAATTGGTTGCATCTCGTTAGGTGGTGGGCCAATTAAAGGCTAGGATTTCACTCGGCTGTTGAAAAGCGGAGACTTGATTGGTTCCACTCCTTTCAACTTTAATTTTTCTGTGCATTGGCAGTCCCAAGCTTTATCAATGAAGGTGGACCTTTCAACAGTGTGTGACGATGGATTGACCAGAATAGGTACCATGTGTATTATGGATTGACTATGTCATAGCCTTTCAATTTTGCCCCCGAAATGTATTGAAACAGTTGTATAAAGTAAACAGAGCAGTTTGTCTATCCCTTGTGCTTCATATTGGTTTTTACTTACTCCGATTTAGAAATCATAGAGGTCATGTCACTTCATTGTTTGATCGTATTATGTATTCAGAATCGTGATGTGCCAATTTTAATGATTTTAATGATGATCATTCGTAATACATTTATTTTATGAAGTGTGTAGAGCTATTTAGATTTGTTGTAGATTTATATGCTCTTATTGGTGATCAATTCATTGTATTAAACTATTTTGCAACTTTCCAAGGCACTGAATATTCAAAAACAAATCAAATTCGTGAGTACATTTTATCAGCACTATGAGGTCCCAGATTATTTTCTAAATCAGCTGATTTTGAGAAATGTGAAATGTCTAATTTCTTACCTTAATTCCACAAGGTGGCAGTATGTACATACACGATAAAGTACGTCAGTAGGCAGACCAAATCCAAGCAACAGAACTGTAATGTAAACTCCCATCACAACTTAAGTTAAAACTGAAAATGGAATTTAACAAATAGGACAATACATTTGTACGAGAACATCTACAGTGAAAGCAAAGGGTTGTAATGCAATACAGCACAACATTTTTGTATTGAAGCACATCAAACATCATTGACATACATGAGCACATTCAAAGAGGAGCACATTCAAAGAGAAGCCACTGCCATCAGTGCCAAAAAGTGCAACAGTGTTCAAACAACATTCAAAGTTGTCTTCTATGGGGGCTGTGGTTACCCGGTCATGAATATTTAACAGATGCCTATAAAAACTGCCAGGTTATGTTGGCCTTCTGACGGACAACCTTCAAAGGCTTCATTCAATTTGACTCTTCTCCAGCAAAAGACTTCTACAACAGAAGCCAAAATAGACTGTCCTACAGCCTTCCTCGCCTAGCTGTTTTAAGTCTACATAGTAGCACTGAGACTCAAGGTAAATTTTCCTTATTCTGTATTCAATTGGGTACAAGTTTTTCCTATTATTAATTCATGAATGCATATAGAGCTAAATTGCACCTTGATAGAACCTAATCATTGCATTGACTTCATTGCACTTTAAAATTGAGCTGCATGAAGTGAATGTTATCTTTCTGACTTAGTATCTAATGAAAAAATGTGTGTCAGATTTTCATGGTTGATTAAATGAGCAACCATGAAATTGAGAGATTCTGCATTAGACAACAGATTAAATAATTAAAGTAGTCTAATGTCAAGATGAATCCACGTCCCACGCCATTGCGTTGATCCAGTTACTGTATATGCCCTTCAACCTTGTGTAGATCCAGCTATATGCCCATTGCCCCTCAACCCCAAATGAATGGAAAGATGAGCATAAATTAATTTTGGATTGTGGGACGTGACTGGAGCTACAAAACATATTGCCTGGGACGTGGACCTATCTCCAACAGAAGACCACTTTTGAGGTCTGAAAACATCAGACAAGCGTGTAGCCTAATGTCCTTTTAATCATGGTATGACAAATACAACTGGTTACGTCTCCTCAAGAAAATTGTTGAACTAAAACTCAAAACACTTAAACGTTTGCAGAACTCCAGTGACTGGTTTGTTAATTCAGTAAGAGGGGGATAGTGACAGAGAAGTCTGACATTTATTTTTCCTTTTTTAGCCCCACAAGTTTTTCTGTATTTACTTTCTAATTGGACAGGCTGATCAGGTGTCTTACATGAGGAGAGAGTTGAAGGCTTTAGCCAAGCAAACTGCCCTTAACATCAGATCTAGGATTAGATTTTTATTTTGTATTTTATTTTACTAGGCAAGTCAGTTAAGAACAAATTCTTATTTACAATGTCTGGCCTACACCGGCCAAACCCGGACGACGCTGGGCCAATTGTGCGCCACCCTATGGGACTCCCAATCACGGCCGGTTGTGATACAGCCTGGAATCGAACCAGGGGGTCTGTAGTGACGCCTCAAGCACTGAGATGCAGTGCCTTAGACCGCTGCGCCACTCGGGAGCCCAAACTCCCTATCTAACCGATCGATTTCAGGATTAAAAATAGCTGATCGTGTATCAGTGGTTAGGGGCAACTTCTACCTTACACTCCAGAGGACAAAGTGAGCAGGAGAGTTGTTGCAGTTGGCCTGTGAATAAGTTTGTCACATTTATTGATTATTTACCAATATAAACTAAAATGAATGTCTTAGCTTTTTCATTTTGTCAAACAGCCTTGTCATTGAGTGTCTATGGTCAATTAGTGTTTTGTATATATTGCAATCTGAGAACCAGCAAGATTAGTGCTATTAACATGCTATTAACTTTCAAATATATTGGGTACCCAGCTTTTAGACTAGAAAATGTGGCCATCCATCTGCGCTCAGTCTCAGTTGTTGTTTAAAGACAAGAAAAACAAACATCTCTGCTAGTTTGAGTTACATATTTTTAGCATAACAACAATCAGAATCTCACATCTACTGAAACATTTAGCAAATACTGACATGGGGCATTTCTAGGATTGAAGAGATTTGGGGCTTAGCCCAAAGCCAGTAGGGGGGTCCATGGGAATTCTCCCCCAGCAAAAAAAAGAAGGAATTTCATAAGCTAAATGCATGAATTTGATGCACTTTGACATGAACATTGAAAGTAGATACTACCAGTACTCAATTACAGTTGCGCTCTACTCTGGAACACTCTCTACTCTCGAACACACATACTATTGTTCAAAAGTTTGGGGTCACTTAGAAATGTCCTTGTTTTCAGATTTTTTTTGGTCCATTAAAATAACAACAAATTGATCAGAAATACAGTGTAGACATTGTTAATGTTGTTAGACATTGTTAATGTTGTAAATGGCTATTGTAGCTGGAAACGGCTGATTTTTTATGGAATATCTACATAGGCGTACAGAGGCCCATTATCAGCAACCATCAGTCCTGTGTTCTAATGGCACGTTGTGTTTGCTAATCCAAGTTTATCATTTTAAAAGGCTAATTGATCATTAGAAAACCCTTTTGCAATTATGTTAGCACAGCTGAAAACTGTTGTGTTGATTAAAGAAGCAATAAAACTGGCCTCCTTGAGACTAGTTGAGTATCTGGAGCATCAGCAATTGTGGGTTCGATTACAGGCTCAAAATGGCCAGAAACAAATCACTTTCTTCTGAAACTCGTCAGTCTATTCTTGTTCTGAGAAATGAAGGCTATTCCATGCGAGAAATTGCCAAGAAACTGAAGATCTCGTATAACGCTGTGTACTACTCCCTTCACAGAACAGCGCAAACTGTCTGTAACCAGAATAGAAAGAGGAGTGGGAGGCCCCTGTGTACAACTGAGCAAGCGGACAAATACATTGGAGTTTCTAGTTTGAGAAACTGGCGCCTCACAGGTCCTCAACTAGCAGCTTCATTAAATAGTACCCGCAAAACACCAGTCTCAACATCAACAGTGGAGGCGACTCCGGGATGCTGACCTTCTAGGCAGAGTTGCAAAGAAAAAGCCAAATCTCAGACTGCCCATCTTAATCTTTTATTTTTATTGGCCAGCCTTTTAAAATGATAAACTTGGATTAGCAAACACAACGTGCCATTGGAACACAGGACTGATGGTTGCTGATAATGGGCCTCTGTACGCCTATGTAGATATTCCATTAAAAAATCAGCCGTTTCCAGCTACAATAGCCATTTACAACATTAACAATGTCTACACTGTATTTCTGATCAATTTGATGTTATTTGAATGGACAAAATAATTGCTTTTCTTTCGAAAACAAGGACATTTCTAAGTGACCCCAAACTTTTGAACGGTAGTGTACCTTGACGAGATTCTGAGGCCCATTGTCGTGCCATTCATCCGCCGCCATCACCTCATGTTTCAGCATGATAATGTCACAAGGATCTGTACACAATTCCTGGAAGCTGAAAATGTCCAAGTTTTTCCATGGCCTGCATACTCACCAGACATGTCAACCATTGAACATGTTTGGGATGCTCTGGATCGATGTGTACGACAGCATTTTCCAGTTACCACCAATATCCAGCAACTTCACACAGCCATTGAATAAGGGTGGGACAACATTCTACAGGCCTTAATCAACAGCCTGATCAACTCTATGCGAAGGAGATGTGTCCTGCTGCAAATGGTGGTCACACCAGATACTAACTGGTTTTCTGATCCACGCCCCTAATTTGTTTTTGAATGTATCTGTGACCAACAGATGCATATCTGTATTCCCAGTCATGTCAATCCATAGATTAGGGCCTAATGAATTTATTTCAATTGACTGATTTCCTTATAAACTGTAACTCAGTAAAATCTTTGAAATTGTTGCATGTTGTTTTATTTTTGTTCGGTGTATTTTCCTCATTGACATACTTCATTATATGATATAGCTCTCATCTATTCATGTAATTAGTGATGACACTAAAATATGGTGGTGTAGCTACAAAAGCACTAAACTAACACCCTTGTATCAAAGATCTGTGGTTGTATTAC